CAGTTTCTAAGTAATGCGCACAGAAGGATGTGAAAGGAACAGACCTTCCCAGCGGCTTGACTCCACTAGCTAGTATTCAAGAGGTACACTACCTCAGCACGTGGAGGCTCCATTGAGCTGTCATGGCCAATAATGTTGATATAAACCAATCCTCCATCAATTTGTCTGGACCATTTTTAAAAAAGACCTTCACAATGGCAATGAATTCTGCACAAATCATGAATCATGCAAAAAAGGGCTTTTGCGTTATTAACACTTACTTGATCTGGTATTTTTTAATGAGACCCAAGTTCTGTCCTTCCAGGGATTAGATGTAGATTAGTGAAATATTAATTTAAGGTTTCATTAAACTTAAAGAACTAATTGTATTGACATTTCAGTCAAGAAGGGGCAAAAGTCCGCTTTTAATGAGGATCAGGGAGATCATGGGGATCAATAAGGAGGTTGTACACTACAACATGTGAAGGAAGGAAGATTTCCAAAGAAGCATCTCATTCAGCTTTCTAAAACACCAAGAACACCACAGCACAAAATAAAACAAGATTATTAAACCACCATCAGACCAATCCCACGTACATTCAGAGGCAGCTGTGAGAACCATGGAAAGAACACATATTAAAAAGAAGAGCCCTGTCATTATAACTCGGCCCTTTCAAAGCCAGGTCACTTTTTTTTAACCATTTGAAAAAATAAATAAATAAAAGATCAGAAAGCTTAGCATCTCTAAGAATAAAGCTTATGATACAACAGCAGCTTTAGTCTCTTTTTCTTTTCTTTACAGGAGGGATAATTTTGCTCTCTCATTAACGAGCAGGAGATTTTAAAACAACGGTTGAAAACTCGTTGTTTTGTTATGCAGGCAGAAGGCAAAATGCGTAACTTTCACTCACTCCTAACAGTTAAAGAGCACTGCTGAGATTCCTGAGCATGTAACAAGCCAGAGGTGCTCACGGGCTCCCAAGAGTCACCACAGCGACTCATTAATTGCCAGCTAGAAGCAAGTGAGAGAAACTTTTCATTTCTCCTATATCCTATTACAATATCCTATTTACAGCACACTTTGCCATGGAAAAACCAACTCACCCCTCCTCTCTCCAACAAGTTACCACCACCTCAAATCCTGAAATGAAATCAAATGCCAAAACTTCGCACAACGTCAAGAGAATATGGGCCCCTTCCAAAGCCAACACAAAGAACACGATGGAACTGCAAGCTATGTGTTGCGTTAATGATGACAGGATGTAATGTTTACCTGAGCAGGCTCCGTGATGTCTTCATTAACGGTTCCAGCAACTTCAACGCCAGGGCCCCTTACTGTCGATCCATTCAAGCATTAGGTTAGGAAAGAATGTACAGTATTGAAGAAGCAACACACAACCAACAAGAGGCAGAGAATTCACAACACTGCAAGTTATTGTTAGCTGATCATCACAAGCAGGAAGATAGCTAGACACACTTGGTCTCCAACATGGCAGGGGGCCATAAGCATTTGAGAAGGGTTCAGCTTTGGTTGACAGCCAGCACAATGTGTTTGAGACCCTGGAGGTTATACAATGCCCACCCCAGATTGCAGACCCACGTGACTGATGCACTTCCCCACGGCCAGACAAATTCAGAGATCAAACATGGCCTCAGAAGTCTTCAAGAGCAACCGTGCAGATGGGTTTTCTGGGAGTTGCAGTCCAGGAACAATTGGGTTGCCCAAGGTTGGGAACCACTGCTTACATAAAGCAGTGGTTCCCTCATCTCCATTATGCTACAACCCAAACATACGTTTCACTCCAGCCCATTTGCAACACTCATTTAAAAAAAACAGTGTGACTGGATCCATCATCAAAGTCCAGGAAATGGAAAACACCCGCACTGCTTAGGAATGCAGAGGAACACAAGGTTGAAGCATATTTTAAAAACAGCAGAAGACAAACAGTATACATTTCGTGCTCAACATCTGTGCAGTTAAAAACAAAACAAACGCAAAACAAACAAGCAAAAAAACACAAAACCCCACATATCGGTGGGGATGTTGTTTCGCTCAAGAAGGGAAGATGTGCTTTCAAAAGGTCAAAAGGTATAAAAAAGAATCCAATTTTGGAAAAACCATCCTTGCACTAAATGCAAGGGAAAGAAAAGCAGAGCCTTACATAATCAAGTACTGTATGGGGGAAATATTGTAACCTTGGATACAGTTTCCAGGGACACCAAGGTGTGTGGGCTAACCAAATAACAGGGGAGGGAACAGATGAAGGCAACGCTCAAGTCTTCTGAGTGAATTGGGTACATTAGCTAAACGAGCGTCCCTCGGTCCACGTCTCTCAACAAGGTTAAAAAAAAAAAACAACAGCACACAAATCGTAACATTATTCATGGGAGAAAAACACATGGAAGGATCTTTTAGCCCGCCCTCCCCACCCACGGCTTTTCTTCAGACAACAAAGTGCTGTTAATAATGGAAATCAACTTGACAAACTGCCCCCTCCTCCCGTTTGTCTGAGGCTTTCATGAGTTCCCAGCTCAAGAAGTCCACTGTCATTAGATCTGAGCTTTTTTTGGTTCTTCTCCTTCATTCTTTACTTCTTCTCCATCAAGACTAAAGAGTACGGCTGAAACAACCAAGAGGTAAACATGACGGCAGAAACATAAGGTGTTCCTTTGAATAGACTCTTCATAGCATCCTCTTCGACCTTTTGATGACTCCTGCTCTGCCGGTTCATTAAATTCACCACATTCTTAGAGGAACAGCGAACTAAAAACCACTCTGCCTTTCCCTCTTACATCCAAGTTGGTCTCATTCAGCAAATGCACTCAAGCAGACTCCAATGTGGCCTGTGGCATCTACCAATGCAGGAATCCCAAAAAGCAAATTGCGATTTAACATCTGATGGTCTGGGATGGAGTGGCGGGTCATCCTCTTTCCTGCTGTGCCTGGTTCAAAAGATATGACGTGCCTCACAACTGTTGTTCCTGCAGGGTTGATGCTACAGGTGATATCACAGTCTTTTGACTCATTCAACACTGCCTTGGTTATTACTAACTACTTGGGAGAAAGTTCTTGCATTCCTTTGGGGTGTGGTACAGCCACAACAAGTTGCCAGGCCCACCAAGCGGTGGACTAAATGCAGCTCAGAAGTCCGTAGTACCCCACCCCCCATTTGGCCCTGAACGTGGTTTGGTTCAGCATAACCACCCATATAAGAAGTGAATTTACATGACACACTTTGCACAGAAAAGGTGTTCCTTGCATCTCCTTAAAATTAAAGTAATTATTCCTGCACCCATGAATCTCACCGTTGTGGGTCTTGTGAGGAAAGATGTATAAGACTCACAAAGGAAAGGATGATATGACATGCAGTGTTCCCCATCCTGCTCTGCTTTTGATATTGTTATAGCGGAGAGAAGTCTGATGGTAATTCTTTCCCTGACCACTAAAAGAATCTGAGGAAATGCAGGAAAATTCTAAGAAACTATAAAAGAAGTCCCGCCACATAATAAATCTGATCTTCGTGGTCCAACCTGCAGTGGATCTGGTCCACACAGGGAAGATAAATTCCCGGCAGTCCAAGGTGACCCATTTAAAACATTGTCCCTATAAAGAAGTTCTAAGCGTCCCCGTTGAGGCTAAAACAATGGTGATGGCAGTCAATTCCGAAGTGCATCATGTTGGCCATGGAACAGCACCAGGTCTTGTCACCAAACACAGGTTTTAGAGGGACAACAGTGTTACGATTCCAACTAAAGAGGGAGGCAAGGTTTCTGGGGAAAAGAATGGGCAGAGTGAGCTCTTGGACCTCCTGGGGTCAAAGCAAGGAAAAAAAAGGCATTAAGAAGCAGGCCACTTTCTGAAAAGGTGAGCTTACTCAATGTTTCATGCTACAATTAGGCCTCTTCCTTCACTGAAAAACCCTGAGTCCATTTAAAAAGGGGGCAGGGGGGTAGGAACACCCTGTTTTGCTTTCTTGCAGCTCCGTAGCTTTGCTCATTGTCCTCTTTAAGACACAGCACAAAAGAATTGTTCCAGTAGGAAGGCAGTTTAACCTAAAAACAGCGTCCAAACAACATGTGTGCGAGAAGCAACTGCTCAATCAACAGACAATGCGCAGGAGGTGGGCACCCTATGGTCCTCCTCTAGCTGCTGATGGCAGCTCCAAGCATCTCTAATCACGGTCCATGGGAATTACAGTCACTGGCGCGTAATAACATGCGGAAAGCCACAGGACACACAGCTTTAACACAACAATTCCCCTCCCCTCACTATTTAGAAATGATTTTCTGTTTTCGAATGCCGTACTGCTGCCTGGACCATTATTAAAACTCAGGGCTTACGTTTCTGCACATCGGCCTGCAGCCTCATAAGACATTCACGGGTTTTAAGCTTGGCTTTCACTGTCATCTTGCAAGAGGGCTGAAAAATTCAACCAGCAAATTCAGATATCCCCAGATATGCCACAATACCGAGAGTTTCTTGTTGGGAAGCAGAGGGGGGAAAGAAAAGGGGAAATCACAACAATTAAACTGTTTTAAAAAGCTTGCTGGATAAATAATTGGTTTCATAACCAATAAATAGTTTTAGACTCCTTGTTAAAAAATCACCCTAAACCAGGTAGATACCTTACTCACTCTGCTGAGGATGACTGCCATCTGAAGCAGAAATTACCTTAGGAGGTGGGTTGGTAGAGGGGATTATTTAGGCCCTTCTTCCTTAAAAAACAGCCCAATTTGCCAAATGAAACAAACATTTGTCAATTTCCATTCAAGGAAGGCAGTTTCCACCTCGGTGCAAGTGTTCAAAAATCAGCAGACGTTTCCAAACCCTTGCCAATGTCTTCCCAAGAGATTTGCAGATTTAAAAAAAAAAACAAACCCAAAAAACTGCCTTTTGCCCTCTGCATGAGAACAGTTAGCCTGAAACGAACATTTTATAATTACTCTTAACTGCTAGCTCAGAATAGCTCACGCTGGGCATGCATTTTAATCCGCGGAATTCATCAACCACCCCATCCCGTTCTCCAGTGTACGGTTGCCCTACAAAGGCTGAGAACAAAGTCAACGGAAGTCTGCTTAAAGAAGGTCAGGCAGAATGAGACCCGGGGGTTTGGGCTCCACACAATTGATCCAGAAGTTGGCGCAGCTGGCGTGGTACTGGTGGCCTCCGTAGGCAAGCTTGAAATTGTCCGTTTCAGAGTTAAAAGCCTAGGGAGAAGGGAATGAAAAACATGGCAGTGATTAATCCGCTTTCTAGAAGCTACTTTTTAAAGAAGGGCTGGTGGGGAAAAGGATAACACATGTCGATTTCAGGAAGCTCCCCACCTCATCTTCCTCTGCCTTGTGCAAACACGTACCTGGCGGAGGGCAGCCATCTGATTTTCTGCTCTGCACCACTTTATCTGCTTACGGTCACACAGTCACCTACGTTGCAGGCTTGAACGATGGGCAAGCCAACCATCTTGCCCCCACGCCTTTTGTGGCAGTCTCCTTCCCAACTGCTTTGCCTTCTGCTTGGCCAGGGTACATTTTCCTAGCATTTTGGGCAGTGTCTGGCTGTGGGGCCAGAGGTTAAGAGTTCAATTCCCTACTGTGCCTTTTTGTGAGAAGAGCCAACCTAGGTGGCCTTGGGCAGGCTGCACAGCCCCAGGGGATCCCCAGAAGGAGGGAATGGAAAACTACTTCTAAGTATTCTCTGCCTGAAAAATGGAGAAAAAAGTTGCCGTAAGTCAGAACTGACTTGATGGCACATTATTATTATTATTAAAGTTCCCTAGCAGTCTGCCATCTGAGGACTATCCAGGCTCAACCCTGTTTAGCTTCAGAAATCGGATGAAACCAATGGGAGGAAGGTTTAAGTAATCCTCTTCTGACGGAACAATGGTCATAAAACAGAACAAAAGAACTGGGTTGTTTCTTAGAGAGAGCATGCTTCCATTCCAACCTCCATTTTCACCAGAAACAAAAGGGGGCTTTACACCTTAAAACACACACACACACACACACACACACAAGATGGATAAATGCCACAACCCCTCACATAACGGACATACAAGAACTGGTACACAGAGACGACAATGACAACATTAACTTGACCGCAGCACTACGAGATGCACCAGCACAGAGCAAAAGAGGTTACAAGCAGAAGGCATGCCAGCAAGACAAAGGTGGTGTGGGTTGGGGAGGTTACGTCTGTGCCAATTTAAGTAGATTACAATCAAGAGGTTAGACAGAGAAGAAGGCAGTGGAACAAGTACTGATTGGGAACAAAGGAGAACGAAAGCAACGGTTCCCAATTTGGGCGCACACTAAAAAAGATCACGTTTTATGGGTCCGTACTTCTCTAGGAGGGTCATCCGCAGGTTTCTCTTCTTTCTGAAAACAACGTTGAAACCAACAAAGGTCAATATACTTGTCAAAAATCATGAGTTGACTGGCAGCCACTGCTTTTCTGCCTAAGGACCCTTTGCTCCACTGGGTGGGCCTTAACTGGTCTCCTTTACAAGGGCAACCATCATGCCGTGTCTACATCCTTCCTTCCATCTTCTTGTGATAAATATAAATTCTAAGCCAGCTTCAGGGAATTTTCTAAACCAATCTCCACGACCGATGCATTTGCACATCTTTATTCTGGGAAAAGAGATGAGCCCCTTCCTGCTGGAGCCTCACAGGTCTTAAGGACTCATGTCTCATGCACCCCATTCTTGCAGCTCCTCTGGGATCACAGCAGGCGCCTCTACCCAGGCAGGTAAGCCGCTGGCAAGAAAGCATTCCACAAATCAGCCAGATGGCAGAGTGCTAACCATGCTAACATGCCTGTTATTGGTGGGGCTAAAACCCCTGCTTCAGGGCAGTTTTTGGAGAGGACGTAAAACTAGTAGCGTTTTAAGAAGAAAATGACAGCCAATAAAAAGCAGAATAAATAAAGTAAAAAATAAAAGAAAGAAAATGACAGCAAGTAAAAAGAAAGAGAAGACCAGAACCACCTCCGCACTTACTTTGCTTCTAGAATTTACATTTAAGAGGCAGACGCCACAGGCCAGGCCTTGTGCATTTTTAATTCCAGGGCGAAGCATGCAAGAGGAAAAATCCAGCGAGTTTTCGTCCGGCTGCAAGACAAAGAAGGGAAACAAAAACACTGCAGCAGATTTTCACAGAAACACAAGAAAGTGTCTTGGAAGAGTTCAGGCTTCCATTTATCCTCAGCTTAGCAGTGCTCCAGCAGAGCAGTGGTTCCCAAACTTTGGCCCCCAGAGATCCTTGGAGTGCAACCCCCAGGCGCCCTTGCTAGCATCTGTCGGAGACTGTGGCGAAACACTGCCACCCCTGGCTTGTTTCCACATTCTTAGGCAGACCAATTCCCACCTTTGGCAGATCTCCAGGCTGATCTTACCGTTAACGCTGCCAGTGACATGAAGCTGATCAGGTTGTTCCACACTTTATCAATGTCCTTCAGCAGGCCCTGGAGCTTCTCGCTACAGACTGCGGTGGCTTTGATGCCCAGCTCAACCCGTTTTGTGACTCGATAGACCTCAACGACTCCTGTGAAAGAGGTCAGAGAAGAGTACAGAGTTAATGGGAGTGATCCTAAGTCAGGTATCCTGTTTGTAATCACGAAACATAACGTCCCGCTGGTGTAGGACTCTGTTTTGTGACTCTGTGTGCCTCAACAACAGGATTGGAGTTTATTTTTTTTCACCATCTGTAACCTAGATCTTGATTCCGTCTGGAATCTGTTCACAGATCCAGTTCTGGAACAGTTACATGGCTGACCAATTCCAGTGGAATGTTTTCAATTAACAAAAATGTGGACATTTTAGATCTTTCAAAAAAACCCACACCCTTTCTTATCAGAATGCCAACTTGGATCTAGTGGAAGCTCGACATTTACTTCACCAGGCACTCAACATTTTTAAAAGCACTCAATTCTTCTTGCATGTACAGTATCCTACCCAACCACATGATATTTTGAAGGTGGGCAAAAGAAGAAAAACGAACTGGTTTTGAAGAGCAGGGAACTACTTACTTTTTCATAGGAATTTGTATTTAAAACTAGGCACACATCCTCATGCTAATGAGATACGATAAAATAAATCATACCTAACAAATATTCCATGCCTTGTGCAGACTGAATTACTTCTGTGCATACAGATGAACTGCTGATTCCATTCAGGGTGTCATTTGCCTTCTTGATGATCTGGGAAAAAAGAGATAGATTATGAGTTACAGAATGGAAGGACATCAGACAAAAAACCCCAAACTAAATAAATAAGAAAACAAAAACACAGCGTGACTTAAAATATGACAAAGGGCTGAGGATCCCAAAAGAGAGATTTCACAACTTTCAAAGAGCTATTGAGACGTTCCTGTCTAGAAAGAAAAATCCCAGCCTTTCGCGAGAATTAAATTTGGAAATCACCCAAATTTTAAAAGTCCTTCCTGGTTGCCCCAAGAAATAATGCCTTCCAAACCTCCTTTTTCTCTGCTTTGTTTTTTTCTGCAGAGTTGGGTTGTGCCTCACTGTTTATTTTTGACACAACACTTAAGATGCTCTACATCTGGGTTGGGCAAAGTGGCCTCTAGCCTTCCCTTTTTCCAGCAAAATATTTATTTATTGATTTATTGATTTATTGATTGATTGATTGATTGATTGATTTGATTTGATTTGATTTTTACCCCGCCCCTCTAGACCATGTAATTTTCCTGCAATTCCTGTAAGGGAATTACAGGAAAAGTGACTCACCTTTTAAATAGGTCACCCTCTCCCCTGCCCCCCATGACTTAACACACCAACTTACTCATTTTTCAAAAACAGAAGTAGAGACGTAGGTTTGGATTTTGTGGGTTTGGGCAGAAAGTACAGCCCTTGGAGCGTCTTGGGGGCAGAAAACTGGCCCACAAACATCCCAAATTTTCCCACTCTTGGTTTAAAGCAGCACATGTGTGTGTGTTTTGTGATCTGTCCTTTCTTTTTTTCTTTAGCTCCCGCAAACAGTGGGGGCTTTATTGGTGCTGGTGGCATCGCAGACATTCACGAATCAGACATTTCCCCCCTGTTCAAACTGAAATACTCTGAAAAAAAAGCCACAGACGGCATTTTTCAGTGCTTGCCAGAGCAGATGGAACAAGTAAGGGATCCTCTTGACCAATCCTCCTGCCCCAGAAAACATCATGTCATCCTCCGCCTTTGGATGCTCAGTGTTATAAATGACTGTGCCAAACAAGCAGCTGATTAAAACAAGGAGGAAGAAGCGACTGGGGGGGAAACATACTTACTTGGAGAGCACTTTCCAAGCACCTCTGCCACTCGTAGGCATACCTCTCGCTTTCCTAGACGCAAAAGAAAACAACAGAGAATGTGGCAGGGCCGCAAGAGATAAGAGCTGGCTGCTGCTTTTTCCAGCAGCCAAAGATAAATGGAGGCTTGCCGAGGGCTTTCACTTAACCGTGGGAAGAAGCAAAACCTACAGACTTCACTCTCCCACCTGTGCTGGTTTTCAGCGAAGAGTAAAGAGGAGAAGAATCCAGGCAAAAGTCAGCCTGCGTCCGTCTGGATGACAGATCTCCAGAAGATTCACGCGACACCCTTTGAATGCCAACACAGCATGGCTGAGCTAATCCGTTCAGCAAATTCAATGGTCACAGTCCCTCCTGGAAGCTTTCTACTTTAAACCCAAGAAAGGAGACTGTTTTTGGTTGTGTTGTTTTTTTTAAAGGCTGCTTTTTTCCCACTCAAAGACACTGTAGACAGGCAATGCCCCCCCCTCTCCCCGGTAATTCCAATTTTTGGTATGAATGGAGTTTTGATTTTTTATCTCCGTGGAATGGGCCACATCTGCTGCCTGAAACAATACTATGCACGGAAGATTCTATGGGGCCATTCGGTCCACCTTGACTGTAAAAAGGCGGCCAGAAGGCACCGGCTTCACCTGCTAGCCCTTCAGTCATCCAGACAGACTTCCCAGCTACATAACACCTTCTTCATCAGAGCTCTCCCTACCTCTACTTCCCCGGTTAGATCTTTATATTTGTCTCTGATGACTGGCAGGGCGGGCTTCTCGCTTAGGGTATTTGAGCGATCTCGGAATGGCTGCTCCAGCGGTGGCAAAGGTGAGGAGCGACTTATTTCTTTGTCCCCCAAGCTCAAGCTCCTTTTGTGGGATCCTGGGGGGGAAAAAAGCCCATCGGTTAAAATTGAAGTGATGTGAACACTCTAAATATTTGTGAGTGACAGAAGAACTACAAAACATGGGAATGTCATGGGGAGGGGGAAGAGAAGGATCTTCTTGGGGGTGGCCCTCCACAGTGGAAGGCTCTCCACGGTCACCTAACAACTACCTTCATTTCGCTTCGTCATTCCGCCATTAAAAAAAAAAATCCCTGTTTTTGAAACCATCATTTGTGTCTTGTTTTTAATGCTACTTGGTGTCTGCTTTCATTTCAGATGACTCTTTGTAGACCGCTCTTTCATACAAGGGTGTTTTCATGGCTTTGTTTTTATTAAAACTTTTAACTTGTAAACTGCATTCAAAAGTTGAAAAACAGCAAAGCACATGCCCTCTAATGAACAAAGTAATCAAGAAAATATGCTTATCATATTTATGATTTGCTTCCCTTATATGCAAATTGGCATGGATTTAGCTGACTAGTGAATGAATCAATCAATTCAGCCTGGGGTTTCCCATATAAAAATCAACCAACCAGAATTTTATTTAACTGGCAAACTCAAGTGAAACAATTAATTAGATCCCGGCCATGAAAGCCTTCGCGAATACAATTAATTATTCTTTTATAAGTTAAAAGAATTGACATCAGCAAGACTTGCGATGAAAGAAGAGCACGCTACCATAGTCTTTCGAGACTGAAGGATGCCTAACGTATAAGTTAAAACCAATTGTTCTGAAACAAAAAAAAGGCACCTTTTTGTTTCAGATCATGTGTGCGTGCACTGTAACCACCATCTCAAAACATCAGAGATAACACCTTTTAAGATTAGGCTTGTATTAATATTTAATCAAACTCTTCTGTCTGGTTATGTGGGACAGACGCACAACTGAAATGTTGGTTATTTGAGACAGACACTGTGACACATAATTTTTAAAAGATCTGCGCTAAGTTTCAAAGGGGGAGGAGCGACACACAAACAGCCCTATTCACATGCTCTAATGACTCCACTTTGTTTACTTAATCTGTTGTATCTACCTTGGACTATTTTCCTTTCTTTACCGACCATCTGGTTCAGGCCAGACTTTGTTTTATTTTTTAAAAAATAATTTGGTATTTATTCAAGAAATGCTGCGGCTGCGTGTTATACTCAGAGGAAACAACTGTTGCTACAAAACACGAGAAAGATAAAAAGAGCAAGTTTGCTTTGAAGAAATTCACCTAACCAAAAATCGACTAAACACCTCGGTCCTAACTAAACATCACACCACTTTTTGACTTGATGTTTTTATTTGGTTGACAGGCACTGGCAGCTCGTCATCCCAATCTGCCATTTCAAGCTGGTGCCCCCAACCCATGCCCTCCAGTCATGAATGGGCTATGGTGATAGCCCTGCTTGTTACCAAAGGCCGTCTTGGGTGAGTCGTTCATCGAGAACCCAGAAACAAAGTCTCATTCTCCCACCTGGGTCTGAAGGGAAAAAAAAAGAGCACAGCCCATCCATTTACCTATTCCTGTATTTAAAATATTTTTATCCCGCCTTTCTCCTTAAAAAGGGCCGATGACATGAACGCTCACCTTGAACAGAGAGGTCAAAGGTTGCAAGCTCACTCTTGATCATTTCTTCACTGGACTTCATCTTGCCTTGGGTCGTCGCCAGTAAGAAGTCAAATTTACTAATTTTGGGCTTTTCACTCTGAAACTCGCCAAAATCATTTGGGCTTTCTCTGGTGGCTTCCAAAGAGACACTGGAAGAGCTGGCCTCTTGGGCTGTGCCTGGGACAGGGCTGTCACGCATCTCCCCCAAAGGTCTTGCAAATTTCCCAAACTCTTCAACATCTTCGTCGCTTTGGTCTATAGACTGAAGGTCAGAAGAATCTCTGAAGGGAGCAAAGGGCGAGAACTTCATGTCCTGAAAAGCATCCTCGCCCGTAAAAGTCGTCACTTTGGAAACGGTAGTCATGGTGATGTTTTCCGAGCTGCCGAAAAAGGTCTCTTTCTTCTGGAGAACAGAGGTAGCCAAGGAGGACCCATGTCCTGGTGGAGGAAGGAAGGAGGTAGACTTCTTGCTCTGATAGGTGTCTTCTTTGTCAGGCCAGTCGTAGCTTGGAAAGCTGCTCAGAGCAGAGCTACTGCTGTAACTTCCAAACGGTGGACACTTTATGTCATCAAGATCTAAAAAGGCGAAGAAAACCCAGTTAGGACCAGCGGCAGCCACTATTTCCAGGTAACAGGTCCCAAGTGACATTGAACAAGGATACTGTAGCGCTATTCTAGAAAAAAAATATATCCCAAGAACTGCCTTCTTCCTAAACATGTGGGTCAATCCTCAGTTCCTGTGTGGCCTCCTTCCACCACCTGAAAGACAGCAAATGACCCCCAGGGAACAAGGTCTTCGCTGTATGGAACAGCCTTCCAAAAGAAACGTGTCTGATTTCAAGGTTTCCTATGTCTTTTACAAGAAACAAAGACAAATGCTTTCCAGTGGGCTTTCGTATACACTGTCCTTTGAGGCGGTGTTAGGGTGACACAACTATTTTAGTAAATGTGGACTGATTAATAAACATATGCTTAAAATGTAGAAACATTAATAGGTTGAGCTTTTGGTAAGATGGTTGTTGTGGGTTTTTCGGGCTCTTTGGCCGTGTTCTGAAGGTTGCTCTTCCTAACGTTTCACCAGTCTCTGTGGCCAGCATCTTCAGAGGACAGGTACCGAAAAAGGACACCCTGACGCTCACCCAGCAAATATTTCCAGAAGACATCAAGGCCCTCTTCCAACACTGCCTAACAACCAGCTATTTCCAGTGGGATAATGAATTCTATGAACAGACAGATGGAGTGGCCATGGGCAGCCCCCTCAGCCCGGTTATAGCAAACTTCTACATGGAGCACTTTGAAAAACTTGCCCTGGCTTCGGCACCCCTTGCACCCACAGTCTGGTTCCGATATGTGGATGACATCTTTGCAATTTGGAGTCACGGTTAAGAAAAATTGGAAGAATTTCTCAACCATCTCAACAGCATCCACTCAAATATACAATTCACCATGGAAAAAGAAATAGAGGGCCAACTCCCGTTCTTAGATGTCATGGTCCTACGAAAAACTGACCTCCGACTGAAACACAAGGTCTACAGAAAACCCACCCACACAGATCGGAGAGAGCACAGAGTGTTGTCCTCTGAAGATGCCGGCCACAGAGACTGGAGAAACGTTAGGAAGAACAACCTTCAGAACACGGCCAAAGAGCCCGAAAAACCCACAACAACCATTAGATCCCGGCCGTGAAAGCCTTTGCGAATACTTTTGGTAAGATTTCCTTGATTCATCAAAGATGATTAGCATCTCCTATAGAAGGCCATCATTATAATTCTGATGCCTCTGCTTCAAAACAGGAACCATGATGGAATGGAATCCTGGTGTCAACCCACCAACAAATTAAATTTCACTCCAGATCTTTGAGTACAAATAGCTCTAATGTTGAAATTTCTGTTGAAAGCAATTGCCCTGCCTTGAAAAAGGACAAATTCGAAACTCAACCCCTTGTCTCCCCCAAACACATTACGGAAGCTATCAACACTCACCTGATGGTTATGTGGCTCAAGCAGTCACAAAACAGTTTACTTTATCTAAAAACAACCAATAGGGAGAGGAAGGCAATGCTGTGATTTGATTTCTGCTAGGCTATACTGCTTCCCCAGTGCAGGTTAAAAACAGAAGAGCAGGCGGAGGAAGAGGAAGAAAATGAAGAAGAAGAGGAAGGAGAAGGAGGAGGAGGAGGAGAGGAAGAAGAAAAGGAAGGAGGAAGAAGAAGAAGATGAAGAAACAGAAGGGAAAGAAGAAGGGAAAGAGGAAGGAGGAGGATAAATTAGTCATGAATCACCCGTTACATACTGGAGTGAGGGTTTCAAACAAAAGCAAATAGAAGCCATTTGTTTTCATCATCATTTTGGCCCAACAGGACTATAAAAACAGAAGGACCACGATGCTCAATCAAACCTCTCTGGGTCCACCTTTGGTTCTCACAATGGCCATCTTGGATCTTCCACAAGAATCCTAAAAGAAGGGCATGAGGTCACAGCGGCCTCCTGCTAAATGTATGTAGCCACCAGTACTGGAAGGCAGACTGCCTCGGAGATCGTTAGTAGCAAAGAGTCATTATGACTAACAGCTACTTATAGCCAGTGGGGCCGAGGGCTACCATGGCATCTTGCAGCAGACCAACAGATATTCATCACTAAATCTTGGGGAAGACCAGGAGATAACGACTGCAGAACAAATTTTAATTGTTGCTTTTGTAACCTCTTTCATAATTTATGTAAATGCACCTGGGATAATCCTACCACAATTCTCTGAAGTGTAATTTTTAGCTACTTATATCACTGCTCTGCTATCCATTTTTCCTCCAACCTCTTCCTCCCTCAACTGCAAAAAAATTCTCCCTGTCCTGCCAGAAGTAAGAAAAATCCTTGTGACAGTGACTTAACAAATTAATCCAAATTGTGTATCTTGTTCAATTGTGTATCTTTTGAAATTTAGGTAATTTGTGCTATCTGCATAAATGACTCAACATTGCAATCGCTGCTGCTTTGTGTGCAGACTTTAAAAGATCAGAAGCATGAAATGGGTTGTGTGTGTCTTAAGCAGTCATCCCATACTTCAAGGCTTGCAGCACGTGCGCTTTGCTTCTTAAATGGCAAGGATAGAATGGTTGATTTACACAGACTATTGTAGAGAGACTGCGGGCTTATGGTAAGCTAGATATGTACTATGAAGACTTGTTCTGGACTGTGAGGAAGAAAACATCCACAGATTTCCACTGCCAGCCAGGCAAAGAAATTCACCCTTACCCACACTGTTGGAGGATTCCTTTTTATAGACCAAGAACTGCAAAAATAGTGATACAAAAGAGAGACCACAAAGAAGAAAAGAAGCACTCTCTTTCACCTTTGCTCTGGAGGCAAGGAATTTTGTGGGGCCTGGAAACCTCTTAGTGATGTACTGTATCTCATTATGTTGAGACAACCTTAATGAACGAGGTGTATTATTCACATCCCCAGTGCAGAGCTCTTTCTAATAATGGTCAACAGAATCAATGGTATCACAGTGGGCATTTGTGACTACTGGGATTTCACTCAAGAAGTCATAGATCTGTCGCTAACACAGCAAGCTTCCTGTTAAAATACGTGGGAACTGTCAAAATGTCTTGTCAACAGCTTCAAACGAGAGCGAGATGAAGGCAAGTGCATAAGGAAAATAGTGACAGTGTCCAACACTGCCTTAATACCTGACAAGACTTCATTTCAGTGGACATGGGACTTTGACTAATGGAAATTAAGCAACACCTCGCCGTTAATTTATTTAAAATATTTTTATCCTTTCTTCCAAAAAAAGAACCGTTGGAAGTGTCTGGAAATAAGGGACAGCCCTGTGCTATGGAGGAACACTTTTGGGGAAATCTACATTCTGTTCTAATTGCTCTCTGTAATATAGTAATGAAGCTGGGTGCTGAGTGCCTACAGGCATGGAGCCAAAATGGGAATGTTTGAGAAGCAGGTGCAGAAGAATTGTGAGGCTTCCACAAATAAAATACGTCTTTTGCTCTCCCATTTGCAATCTAATCTAACAACCTATCCCCTCAAAAAACATCCACAAAGACTACGCATGCTTAGTAGTCACTGATGACTAGCTACTGAAATACAAAACAGAAAGGAGGAAAGGTGGGACAGCTTGCCTGACCTCCACACAGTTTGCACTTAGATGCCTTGCATTTATCTTGTAAGGCTGGAACACTGAAAGGGAGCATTCTTGCCAAAAAGTGAGGACATGATGAAATGTTACAGGGACCAGTGACACCACACTATTATTCCATGGCCCCATCCACTGAGAAATAAGCAGCTTTCCAGATGTTGGGTAGCACCTCCCATGAACTCTAAGCAGCATAACTGTTGATGGGAGCTGCAATCCAGCAACATCTGGAAGCCAACATGTTCCATGTACCTTTTTGGCTTTTGAATTTACTGCATACACATACATTCTCTCTCACACTGTTCAAGACATAAAGCAGTGTACTGGAGCCTACAATCCAGCCTCTATCTATCTATGTCCAAAAACTAAACTTACATCAAGTACACCTTGTGCTAATAAAGGGGAAGCCTGAATACAGGAAAAGTTAACAGCCATAGCCAACCCATTGGATTCAATACAAAAGGTTGCCAGATATACCATACCTTTTACCCACACCCCTGACATGATTATCACATGGAAAAATAAAGATTGAAAAACAAGGAGTATCGCAGAAAATTTCCAATGCTATTTTCTTTAAGTAGCGAGCAATGACACACAGCAGCGTAAGCGCGCTGTGTTCACCAACTGCAATCGAGACACACCTTGGGAAGGGCAAAATATACGCAACCAAAGAGCAATGCCTCGATGCAAACTCTGTGTGAAGGACGCCTCAGGTTCAGCTCTTGGCACTGCTGGTTAAGATGGTTTTTATCTAGCCAGGCCACGAACACAGGTCGATCCAAGACCCTCAGAGCTTTGTGGCCATTAACTGCCCAAGCTATTTGGCTCATCTTGCAACAAAACACACTAGGGCTGTGTGTAAATGTTCCTGGGCCATGCAGATCCACTGTAGGGTTTCAGGTCCAACAGCAACGGAAAGGTGCCATTTGTGAAGTCATGTTTACGCAACTACTATGATTCCTACGGTGCAAATCACTAAAAAGCTAAGCTTGTAGGAACCCTTGTGGTTAGAGAGGGGGCTGAGAACAAGTATTTTTTTTCCAAACAGACCTTCTCAGTAAAATATTGCTGAAGTGCAAGCAGCTCTGGCACTCCTGAGGCTCACAGGCTGAACTCCCCAAGCCCTCTGGCCTGGAACTCGCCAGGTGCATTACCACTGTGAGGAAAACAGAAGCATCTTAAATATGGGATTTTAGCAGCAGGCAGATGAGCCTTGTTTTTTGTGCTACTGGGGTATCCTTCAACAGGTAACCGTGGTTACGTGCTACTTTACAGCACTCGCACTGCAGCTGGTCTGCAAGAACTACTGCAGTATTAGCTCAGCAGAGATCAGCTGATCCAAGGCCCCATAGTCTAGCTTTTCCCAACCTAGTGCATACCAGACGTACTGGCTTCCAATTCTCAAATACAGTTTGCGGGAGGAGTTTGGGAGGGCACCGTATTGGGAAAGGCTGATCTATGAGCTGGTCCTATAAAAGCTTCTGACTCCAACCTAAGCAATTTGTACCTTAGTCACAAACTGAGTTCCGAGTTTAATTGTTTGACTGCTTGGTTGGACCTTGACTCATCAAAGGAGCAACCGCAAACACAACCACCACCCAAACACAACAGAGCGGAGAGAAAAAGAGAGACTTTCCAAGTAGAAGGGGATACGGTTGCTTTAAACTTCAATTTTTTCCCCTCCTGTTTGATGAAAGATGCATTTCGAAAAGAATAGAGAAAAATCACACATGCTCAGATTTTCAAAATATGCCAAGATAAATATTTATTTAAACACAGCAGGACTTACAGATCACAAAAGAGAAATGGATATACAGGAGCTCAAAGGGAGTCATTAGAATCAAAGCATGCAGCCATCGCAGAAGAGAGATATCAAAGCAGATTTCGAAAAGGCACATTCACACGGGAAATAAATAAAAAGTATCAGAGGAGGAGGAAAAACAGACAGCAAAAAAGGGGAGGAAAGAGAAAAATAGAGGAATGTCTTTCTCCCCAAATGCTGTTTGCAAAGAATGTTCCAAAGGAAAAAAGGTTGTATCAGCTTGTACATTCTACCATCGGGGTCTATCCTAACAATTTAATCATGAGCCAGGCTGCGCCCTTGCTGCAGTGTTTAAAAAATGGTCAATGAGGACTAATCATGGAGATGGAGACAGGGGAGGTCCCCACCCAGGCCAAACCATCCAAACCAATAGGGAAGAGTGGACCATGGGGCAGAAAAGCAGCAATAAGGAGGATCTACTAAAATCAACATGCAGCAAGCGCGTAGATGGTTAAAAGTTTGTCAGAGGTTCCTTTTTCAAAAACAAAACCCACAGTCAACCATTTTATCAGTAAGGGCTGGCTTCCACACAAAAGATGTATAAATCAAAGTTTAAAGAGACAGTATCCCCCAGAAAGAACATGGAAAAGAAATCTCAGTCTCTTATCTTATCCCTGTCCAAAGAGATCAAGACAATTTGGCTGAAAAGTTGACCAATTTTAGCATCCTTCCTTTCCCACCAAAGACATGTCCTTGTAATTTATCTCCTCTTACTCGGGCTTAATGAGGAAGGAGTTAAACGTTCCTTTTCTGTGTTCTGAGAAAACTAGAAATCACTGCAATAAATTTAAGTCCTGCATGCTTACGCTTTTAAAAAAATTCTAAACATCACTTGTGGAGCTTTGAAGACATAAGAAGCCCCAACAGCCAACCATCTGTTTCTCAAGGAACATAAAAAGGGATACTGTCCCTTTTCTGATAATCCATTTTACAGTTCAAAAGGAAGCAAAGGGAGAGGTAGAGTATCTATTAAGATCAAAGAAAGGGAGACAGATACTTGAACATTACCAATTCAACGCTTGAAATGCCTGAAAACACATATATAGATAATCTGTATATAAATATATACACACAAACAGAGAAAAACACCAGAGCAGAAAAGAAGTGGATTTAACAAATAAGATTTCAGAGCAAGGCGAAGGAAACTTTAGATGAAAAGGGGTTTGGGGGCCCGAAGGAGTTCACCGAGCACCTTGGTTGGCCAAAAATTCCTCGTCCCTTAACTCTGTTTCAGAGACTGCAGAACACTTGCCTTCTCCTCTCTCTCGTGGGTGTATTTCTGCTCCTCTGAGGCCTTAATCAGAGTCATTAGGGCAGAAACAAAACAAAATGAAGCTTCTTATAGGTCACAGCTAGCCCTGGTTTGAAATGCCGATTTGAGGTGCACTTCGGTTGCCATTAACCGTTGCTAAACTTTGGCACAGTTATGAACCACGGACACTGATGGGGGAGTTGCCTGGGAGAGAGGAGCAATCATTCACTTCTGATCCGTTCCCAAAAGGTAAGGAAATGGGTGGCATTAGGACTGAGCCGGCCCTTCGACTTGGCACTAGAATACAGAGGAGGACTTCCTTTCTCTTTTGGAAAACATGGGGAGACCTTCCTGATGACCACACTTAAAAAGCATTTAGCGATGAAAAAACATGATTCGTGTAACCAACCTTAGGACCCAGAAGGCACCGCTCAATGCAATTCTCAATCATGAAATTGCTATGGACTTCAATCTCATCTCTGGAAAACAAGCTACACTAAAGCTCAATCCACTAACGACAAAGATTAGAAAAATAGTAGGAAAAGTGCTTTTGGAAAAACCCAAGGTAAACAAAAACAAAACAACACTTTTCAATACCACACATGGTAGGTGCCAAACAACGAGTCCACCCACCAAACCAGATGCAAGCATTTCAACATACAAAAAATGTTTAGTTCTTCATAAAAGAAGAATTATTCCTGATATTTTTTCACCCTGTTAGAGGAATTCTCCATATCAAAAGCCACCTACAGATTTTCCTCCTTTCCTTTTTAAAAACAGAATATAAGGCTACAATACTGAATTTATTTTCACTGCCCAAAATGGGTGGCAGACAGAACAATCAACCATCCATGTGGGGAAAAACTGGACTCTGCAGCAATAGCCTTCCCATCACAAATGCTAACTGGACATCTTTTTTTCTTATTTTTGAACAGGTACTTTATCCATTTTTTTAGGGCACAATGTCAATAAAACCCAGTGTTTGCCCCCTCTATTATGTATAGATATTGTTAATAAGGCAAAGAAACAACAAAGGGCGCTCAGGAAGTTTAACAAACTCCTAGCACATTAGAGATGACCAGGTCACATGTTTTGACATAAAATTTTACAAACGATGTGTTTAAGAGGGAGAAATCCTATGGACATGGATCCATATCTGCCATATAAGTTGACTCTAATAATTGCCTTCTCACATCTTAAGGGCCAGCATTTTCACACTGAAAATGCATAAGGGCTGCATTTTTATTTCAACACCAGTATGCACCACCATGAACCTACGCTGTGGTCTGTGTTGTCAGGGTGAAAATATACATCATGAGATCATCCTGTGCTTATAGAAATGCGGCCACCTCTGTACACAGTCATGGACTGCTACAGAGGTGGTCATGTCTCTGTAAGCACAGAATAAGCTCACTGATGTCTATTTTCATGCTCCAAAAATGGAATGTTAAGCAAAAAACCCCAGCCAAATGTGTCTCCTTAGGTGTAGGCCTAATCAGACTTAGGGCCTGAGCTCCCAAGAAGTGTTGCTAACTAGAACATTGTCCTTCCTTCCAAAATGTGTGGAAACACTTGATCAGGGGGGGATGGGACTGGGCATTATTGTTTGATTCTGTGCAAGTATAACGTGGCAACTATAATAGTATACAAAAATTGTTTTGGTGCAAAGATTGCACAAGGCTGCTTTCTAACACACAGATGGTAGAGATATTAATGATGGTTCTGTCTTTAATTGCAGGTTTTTTCTTTAAAAAATGGTGCCAACCTAATGAGTGTATCCTCCTTCAGCCCTTCATCACAGTTAAGAAACATTTCAATGCAATTTAATGGGAGTGCATCTCGCTATGAGTTGAAACTACTACTTAAAGTGAATTTCAAAGTCAAGTTAAAATGAAAGTCCGACCGATCTGACCAAAGTTAACAACTGGTGCAGAGGTACTGCTTAACTGCGGGCAAGGGAGAAAGAATGAATTACTTTAAGAAGGGGCTGCGGAGGGACACCTCACTGCTGAGAGGGGTATGTCTGCCCCAGACACTGTAGGGAAGTATATTAATCCTGTAAGAAACATGCACCATTCTTTCAAACTCTGTGATTCCTTCGATATTTAGGGATGGATGAGGCCCAAGCTAACTTGCAAAGCAGCTCGCGAAAACCAAGAGGTTTTCAGCCTTTCCTGAGTAGCGGTCCATCTTGTGAAACCTCAGCATGACCCTCAACACTAGAAGAGTGCTTCATCGAGAAAGGGGTTGCTAAGAGGACATCAGTAATACCGTGGGGTATAGGGCTCACCGCGGAGCAATCCGATCTAAAACTTACAACCAGACAACAACAAAAATGCATTAACACTGCTTGGTTAAGAGAATTAGCAGCTAGCTGAGAATACAGATTCAGGAGCCTTTGCTCTCTAGAGAAGACCAGCACAAAAGACCTGCCATTCGGCTCCAAGAGCAGCACTTCTGGGTTATTTCTACTGCCTTGGTCACCAGAGCAATCTGACTAGTTCCTCACCTGCTGCCGGAGGATGTTGGCCACTAATGGTTGGCAAATCCAAAGAGCTATCAGACATGACATGCTTAAGGTCTCCTCCCACATCCGCCAGTTTCATGTCAAACTGGACGGAAAGGGCGTCTTCCGAGTCTTCCTTGCCCACGCTGCTGCCCCCGATGGACGGGAGGTCCAAGGATTTGACGGAGGCCGAGTCCTCTTTGGCGTGCTTGAAGGCGGCCAGTTTGTCCACCAGGGATTTTTCAGAACTAGACGAGAACTTGTTGGAGTGGAAGTCGGCAAAGTCATCCTCGCTCCTCACGGACGAAGGGGTGTGGTCTTTCAGTTCGTCAAAGCCTAAGCTGGGGCCATCCAGAGACAGCTGTTTGAAGATGTCGTATTTGGTGGAAGTGGTGGCAGGGCTTTGTCCACTCTTCACGGCACCGGCTGAAGAGCCAGCTGGAGGAAGAGGGCTGCCATCCGGTTTGGGTGGGTTGCATTTGTCCTCTGGCAGATGATCAGAAGAGCCGGCACTGTTATTGAAAGCCATAAAGTCTGCAAACTCGTCCTGAGTGGTCGTCGTGGTACAATTCGACAATCCCCCAAATAGGTTGAAATCAGCAAAGTCATCAGCCAGAACAGAGCTGTTGATGGGTCCGGGCAGAGCAGTGGTCACAGCAGACGTTGGGGCCGGTGGCGCAGGGAAAGATGCTGGTTTGGGGGAAGTGTAAACAGTTGGAAAACCAAGGGGTCTGTTCTCTCCGGCAGAGGCTGAGGAAAACAGATCCAAGTCGGCCAGATTCAGCGGAGGCTTTGCTTGGGGCTGTGGCTTCAACTGTGTAGGTAAAGAAGGGGGAGGAAAAAGTTTATCCTTTGTTGGCGGGTCTAGCGGCGAGATGCTGTCGGCCGTTTTGAAATCTGTGAAGCCATCATCTGCTCCTGCGGACTTGAATTCTGCAAAGCTGTCTCCTGCATTCAGAGAAAAGGAAGAAACGTGAGGAATTATTTCTGAAATGACAGCTGTGCCATTCGCTCAAACAGGATAACGAACAGGTTAAATCACAGAAATGCAATAAATGGCTTCCTCCCAGAGATTTGAAGCAAACAATCTTTTAATTCAAAACCCAAACCAAAGACAGAGGGAACAATCCTACCAAAGTTAAGCAGTTCAGTATTGCATTCAATTCCACAGGGAAAGGTTTAAACATGTACCTAAAATAGGGTTTATATTTAATTAGATTAACAGTACATCCCAATTTATACATACACTTTCATTCCTAAAGGATTATGTTACTTTGCACATGGAGGAATAATTCATATTTACAGTTTTATCATGTAGATTTAAGGGCATTTACATCAAAACAGGTCCATTATACATCTGATCTCTATTTCTGCCTTTCGATGTAAATAATAGATAAGTACAGAAAATATTTGTTTAATACGGAGCAACATTAGAAAACGCTTACTTTGCCCTTACCCTTGTGACTAGGATGATTCTTCATGTACCTTAAGCATATTTAATTGTGCTTGTTCTCAACAAAATTGCAATGAACCTTAATCAGAAAAATGCACTTCATCTAGAATCACAAACCATAATGATAAAGCTTGAGAACGTATGCAAATTTCTTAATTTTCATAAACTATGTAAATCAATAACTGATCTGGGGGGCTGGGATTGGTGTGTGTTCAACCAGCAGGTAATGTTAAAGACACTATAATTTTTGATAATGCTGTCCTAATTTGTCTAATGTTGGGAAAGGGAGACAAATTTCAGAATTTCTACTTCCTAGAAAAATCTTCTGTTATAACCACAAGGCCTCTTACCTGGATACATCTCCCTTCACAGGTCAGGTGAGCCATTATGATATAGGTAGCCTTACCTTTAGTAGTACAGTACTCTGACTCTGGACTATCTGGCAAATACCACCAGCATCCTTTTTTACCTTTTATAACCAACCTACTTTTGTTTTTCCAGTAATTCTATTGTTCTAAATTTCTACTCTTTAGCTGATTTGTTCACTGTTAATCTGGTGTCATGTTTCACATTATTTCCATTAGGGCTGTAAAGTACTCTGACGGGGCATTTCCTGGGATAAAAGTATTTCAATCTCAGTAACTTGATCACATGTGTCTAGGATGTCTCCCACAAGCTTGGGGCATTTCCTGGTATAAAAGTATTTCAATATAAACCTATCACTCTCAGTAACTTGAGCACATGTGTCTAGGATGTCTCCCACAAGCTCAAGCCACAGTGCTGGTGCTAACCTTCCAAGCCCTGAGAAATCAGGGTCCCAAAATCCAATGGTGCATCATTTCCTGTGTTAGCCTACCCATACTTTATAATCTCCAGGAGAGATTCTTCTTAAGATACATACAGCACCTTATGTGGAAAAAAGGGGGAGATGGCCTTCTCTAATATGGTGGCATTGTGGAAGATTCCTCATGGACCTATGACTGATTCTGAGGTAATCTCGAGGCACCAGGTCAAAAACGGTTTCTTCAGTTTGGAATTTAAAGATTGGTTTATGAAGCCAACTGGTGCTTCATAAACAGCTACTTTAGTAATTATCTGCCATTTTTGCTGTTGAAATAATTTGCCATGTTTTAGTAGTGATTAAAAAAAATATTATATTTTGTTAACTGCCTAGTGATCATTCAGTGAAGCTCACTAGGTGACCTTGGGCTGGTGACATGTTTTTAGATTGATGGACCTCAGAGAATTGTTGTTTGGAAGATAAGGTGGAGAAGAGGGGCTCCACATACATTGTCTTGAGTTCAAAGGAGGGAAGGTAAGGCATAAATGTAAGCAAAAATAAGGCAGTCAATTAATTGTGCAGCATAATCATTTCCCTCTCAGAATTTTAAGCAACTGAAGTAGAGAAGTTTAGCAGGTTATTTTAACAACAAGCATCAATGTGTATTTTTCAGTCTAAAAAGGGGTGTTTAAGCATAGTTTTATTTTGATTAACCCATTCACCAGCCTGACATATTTACACATAAGCTACTGTTGAAATACATTATTCATTGTTAACACAAAACAGTCTTTACGTTTTCCTGTTTTATAAGTACCTGGATCTTCACATGCCCAGTTCACACACATGCATTATTTCATCTTTCAGATTACCATCACCGTCCTACACACACAAAACCCACCAGTCAAGTCAGTTTCACAAATGCGATTGTAACATGAACATGTCTATAAGCCAAAATGAATCAAACAAAAATAACCCACTGAACACATATTAAATATTATTAGTGCCATATGGGAATGAGATTCCATGCTTCAGTTTTCTTTTCTTTTTTCTTTTCTTTTTTGTGAAACTGATATTGATCTAAACTAATGAGTGTCACATCAAAAGTCAACTTACTGATGGACTGCAAGCTTTTCCATTAGAAATGAAAGCTGGTGAAAGGGTTAAAAGGGGTAAAATGGCAATATATGTGACCAACTTCTCATTCTTTAACAATAAATTGGATCAAACTTTTTGCTCCATGGACAGGTTTAAGTTTGTTTGGCCTCACCACAGCGGAACGGTTCCTTGCACCTTTTTATACTGAGCAGCATGGCAGTAACACTTCAAAAAAATGTTAATGACCGCCATTTCCTTAATTTTCACTCCCTCCCCTAAAAGGTCTATGTCTTCATCATGTGATAGATCAAAAGTCTCTTGATTCTATCCCTAAAACGTAGGAGGCATTACATCATCAAAGTGCTAATGTTACTACATGGATTTAAAAACTAACCAGGCAAGGAAACTCAGCTTTAGATGCTAACCAGGGCAAGAAATTAGGTTTGGATTGTTTTTACAGAATATAATAAAGGCAATAAGAAAGCCAAGAGTTTAAAGTTGTATAATAATGAACATTCATATTCATCTTTTTTAGAATATTCAGACTTTTCTAGTCAATTATCTCCAGCAGGAAGAAAAACCAGGTGTCAATTTTTTCAAGTGGTGTGGAGGTGAGTTAATAAGGTTCAAACATATTTCCATTTAAAATATTCTTTTCTTTGTTTAAAGAAAAGCTTGCTAAGAAGTCTCTTATGCACACTTATTTCTGTTTGGTTTTTTAAATACAATTTCCTTTCAAGCCTCCAAACATGGAACATCCTCAAATTCCGCTTATCACATGGAGACAAGGGAAAAATTGCATTATAAACTAAATCTACTGTGAAGTCCAGATTAATAATGCATTCCCTCCCCCCCAGACTCACTGAAATACACAAGGCAAGTTGGTTGCATCAGACAAAGCAGGTTGAGTCCATAGACTTCCTTAACTGTGATATATTTCTTATGCCTTTGAAAACGGTTTCACACAAGTCACTTCTGATTTTGGAAATTACATCTATCCCAGGAAACGCAATCTAACCCTCAGAGACTTTATGGAGATAAGCGTTCCTGTAAACAACTATAACAGCATTGTATTTCTTGCAGTTATAGGAACAACAACAAACTGAGGTGGTTTAGATCTTGTAGCATTTTTATTCAGCCAACCACAACTGATGAAGAACTGTTGGCTTTTAAGAGCACTATTTTTTATTATTATGGGAACTACTGAAGGCTGGGCTAGCATCCCATTGTGTTCAGAGCACAATCCAAGGAATTAGGGTTGACCTACAAGATTAAAACCCCTGAACATGCACTACATACTACAATAGTTTCCTCTTTTAGTGACTCACTATGTTTCTGAGGATTCAGCTTACAAAAGATCTTATTATTTGTCAATCTCTAGTCACTATTATCAGCTATGACTTGACAGGGGGCTCTTTAAACTGATCACAGTCATTGCAATTCAGGACAACTAATATGCTGGGTAAGGTAAGCCTGCTTTAATGTAAAGGTTGCCAATGAAATACTAATGTGCTCACCAGGACCAATACTAACAGGATTTCGCCAATCCTATAGAGCTCATTTTTTAAAAAATTACAACAAACATACTACCCACCAGACAATTATGGAGGCAATGCAGGAAAAATACTGATGACACAAAATTTGATGTACTTACCTCCAGGTTTACTCTCAGATGGTTGTTCCAGCTCTCGGAATGCACTGTATTTGTCTCCATTATCTACTGTGCATATAATTTTTGTAAAAAAAAAAGAAATTCGGTTACAATACAGTTAGTCTGTAATCATAAAGAAAATTATACATGGTTTAAATTGACAGTATTATGTAGACTAGACATTTTAGAGTAGCTACTAGCGAACATTTAAAGGCTTCCTGAACCAGAAGTAATATGCCTTATATATCTCACTATCAAGGACCTATCAATTTGAGCTTAATTTTAAGATCTAATTATCCTGCGACGAGGCAAAGGCAGATAGATAGCACTCTCAACTACTAGACTTTAGTACAGGGAATATGAATGTGGTGGGATGGAAGGCCAAGGCATATGGAGACAGCCCTTAGACCAAAATCCACTGGGTTCCCTCCTCCTACAAGAAAACTCAGGGGCTGTGCAAGAACAAGTTAACATTTACATGTAACTCCAGTTCAACAGGTCTTCAGGGAGAGAATTCCCCAGTGAATAACACATCACACTTATCAACTGGAAGTGATTCTGTTAATTCTTGCATCCAGTCTACCCAATAAAACTGAATGGCACAGCATCATCTGTTTGGCAGGTGCATGTTTACCTCCAAGGGAAGGTGGGCCTTCAGCGGGCTTGTCAGAGGAAATCCCTTTAAAGGCAGCGTACTTGTCCACAGTGGGTGGCATGCGTGTGCCTGACAGTGGGATCAGCATCGAAGAAGTGCTAAATGAGATGAAAGAAGAGGGCTCATCAAAGCAGCCTGTCTCTGTTTCTCCTGAGAAATTTACAGCCATTCTTAGTCATCAGAGGATAAATTCTCCTGGGTTAAAAATAGAGCACACGGTTGGCACAAAGCCAGTTCCTGAGGAGGCAGGAATATACACCTACTCAGGATGGAATATGCAATAAAATTAATCTAGACATACAACAGAAGAAAAAAGAATCACACATACACAACACATATACACGGGCCTATAATACTGCCACTTATGCCTCAGTACTTCCTGAAGAACAAGGGATCAGAGTTGTGAACATAAAAATGGGAGAGGTTCAACTTTTGTTGCTTTAAAATCTGCTCCAATAAAGCTTTTATCTAATATTTTTAATATGATGTTTAATTCTTTTTTTAAATTGAACAACTTATTGTATTCCTGTACAAACCCATGAATACTCATGGCCAATCTGATGATCCTCAGCATCAACATCCACTTGGTCACTGTCACAGTGAACTCTTTTCTTCCTCTTCCCTTGCAAGCTCTTACTCCTTGTGTGTTATGTTTTAAATTCAGATTATAAGCCTGAGGGCAGGAACTGTCACACTGTGCTTCTTGTAAGCAGCCTGCCTAAAGAACAGGATATAAATTCTTCAAAGGAATGAATGAACAAACGAACAAAGAAACAAATGCACTGTGCAGGCCAGGGCAGATCCTGGATGGGAGATCACTTAAATCTCCCTTTAAAAGCATGCCTGCAAGTAGAATAGGTGCCAAATAGAAAGGAATCCCTCTGGTTAATGGTGCAATCAGGTCTCTCACTCCTTCCATACTCTCTTCCAGAAAAACTAGCCTTCTCTGCACCAATTTTTGAAACCCACATAAAATAGGCTAGTAGAGCCCAAGCCTACAGCAACTTTAACACATTCAGCAAGGCAGAAAGAAGCAGATATAGACACACAAGTACCTAACTCTGTCCCAGAGCAAAAGAAATGTGCTGAGGATGAAACAGGCCCACCTTTTCTTTAGGAGCTTGCATAAATACTGGTGCTATGTTGTTTTGGGGTATTAAAAGCTCACCACCACCACCACCAACAACAACCCCTGTCCTGAAATCCCCAAAGTTTCCCCCAGCGCAAAAGAGAGCCCTAGGCAGTATGGGGGGAAAAAAAGGAGGCAGGAAGCTTTCCATCCAATTCCATGAAATATTACTGTTGAAGGCTGATGACATCATCCTAGTTGCACAGCATAAAGTTACACCAATAGTTAGTTAAGAATTAAGAGTTTAAAGCAGTACACATTCATAGATTAACTTTAGGTTGTTTAGATGTTTTAGGAACTTTCTAAGAGCCAGCGGATGAATGGAAGGTTTTGACGCTAAACAATTAAACAGAAAACCTGCATCAACCATTCTGTTCTCTTAAAAAGACACTCATATCCCACAAAGGGCAACAAAGGTCTTTATATTAGACATAGAAATCATAGTCACCACTGATCTCTGAATGAGGCAATCCAATTTCCTTATCTCCTGAGCCAACAGATGCTCACATAGTTATCAGAATGATTGAACAAAAGTGTGTGTGTGGGGGGGAAGAACAGCATTACCCATAATATAAGGGCTGCAATGCTACTCCTGTTCCTATCAGGTTTGCCTCACCTGGCAGAACAAAAGACACACACACAAAATTGTGGCCAATTGACAAGGTGCTGGAAGGCATCTTTGTTGTGTAGTCAGGTGCGTGGTCAAGGACACAACCAAGACACTAATACTGTTGCAAGTAGCTGCGTCAAGTTACGCCAACCTTATGTGAACATCAATAGGATTCTTAAGGAATAAAACATTAATACTATATTATCTAATGGGACTAAAGTTCGTCATGACTAAGTCTACACCTTGAGAGCATCGCTATATTATACAGTATGGCTCCAATCCTAACTTTCTCTTATGCTGTTCCTGGGCAATTAGGGACTGAGAATAATTAAATAATGTAAAAATTGAAATTGAAATTCACTACCTGCTCCTGCTGTGGTTAGGAATCATTTTGTTTGATCCAGGCGCCTCTGCTTGGAAATCCGTAAAGGTATCATCAAGGCCACCTGATTTAGAAGCATCTTGGAAATCTTGAAAATCATCATCATCCGGTTTGGCTGCCTAGATGAAACAAAACCATTTTGTTGTTATTCGCTGTCATACTGCAACGGTCTTGTTCATACATTTTGTGTGGTTTTTTTATTGCCTGCGCTTCAGACAAAGCTCCCAGAGATGCTTACAACAGTAAAAATTCACAAACAATACCCGTCAGGGCCAACAGCATTTACTCATTGAATTACGAGACAAATGTGTGAGAGAAGCTGGGACAAATGAAAACTGTTTGGAGCTCAATTTAAATTGGACAAAGGCAATCTGAGGGCTCCTTTGTGCCTGAAGACATCAGTGTTTCTCTCCCAACGTATTTGAAGTCCCCATGCCCCCATGTACTCATTCAGGAGTCGGCAAAGGGCAGCCCTCCAGATGTGTGTAAAGAAGTGTGGCCATCCTTCCCCACAGGCTAGGGTTAATGGGAGCAGGAATCCAGAAATATTCGAAAGGCCATGCTTTCGCCCGTAACTTCACAATACATGCAAAATGCTGCTGCTTTAGTAAGTTTCTCTTAGAACTTTTTTGGCAGCGAACATGAAATGGATCAAGAAGCCTGGAATAAAGGCACAGGGAATTCCACCGACTTACAAACTACTTTTATTTTAAAAGAAAGTGCTTAGATGAGGAAGTAAGGAAAATTGCACCCCTCACATGGCAGGAGGCTCCTCTTTCCAAGTGATCTGGAGAGGGAGTTTCAAAGATGCTGGGCTGTAACAAAAAGAGTCCTTACTCTGGCCGTGGGGGAGACTCAAGAACTGAGCCTCAGAGGCACCTAAGGCGTTTGATACAAGAATACATTTCTTGAGGCAACTCTTCCCATTCCCAAGGCTTATATACCCTACCATAACCAGCTGCTGCAGGATAAGCTGGCTCTGTAACTGGGCACATTCACTTGAACTCTATTGTTCAACCTACAGTTAACAGCAGGGGCAGCCCCAGGGCTTTGCTCCTTCAGGTGGATCAGAAAACAGGGATCCCTCTCAACCCAAGTCAAGATGCCCGATGTCTAAAAACCAGCCAACCTATTTTAGTACATGAGACAGAAACGATGCAGAAGCACCTACCCTTACCCCACCACCTTTGGTACTAAAAATACAGCAATAACAAAGTAAACCAAACTACCCACTGCTCCCCTTTCACAGCATTCAGAACATGTTGCTTGAGACAGATGCTTCCTTCTGTCCTAACAGCAGGGTCAACCTCAGCTTAAAAAATGGACACACCTCAATACTGCTGCCAGCTTATTATGCAACTCATACAGCACTAACCTGGTTTGCAGGGTAAGAGGGCATGAAGGTGCCAGAACTAGCCTGCGCTGCCGTTCCACCCACTGGTGCAGCCATGCTGAGCCCCATGACAGGTGGCCCCATACTAAGAGGCAGGGAAACTGGTGGCCCAGGTGGCATCATAGGCTGTTGGCTCACTGGGGCAGAGATGGCCACGGGAAGCCCACTTAACGTTGGGATTGGGGCAGAAGAAAACTGATTTAAACCATCAGGGCTCATGGCCGGGACGCCTCTCTGTATAGGGGGAAAGAGAAAAGCAACACGGATGACATAACAGGAAACAAAAGGACTTGAGCACAATCCGACAGACTGTTCCCAATCCTTTATCTGGAGTTTGTTAAGAATAAGCAGCCCATGAAAAGCCATGCATCTGAATAAATTAAACAAGACTTATTTAAAATTGGAGGGCTACAGGATTGTACTGTAAATTATTAACAATTTTCTGCCCTTCTGGGACACCAAAACCAGCTGCTGGAAGCAGCTGTCAAACGTAGCCTAACAATAGCCCCGGATTATGGTTTCAGACACAAACAGTCCTAAGCTCGAGGAGACCTTTCCGCCCCAATTCGTACTCAAGCCTACCTGAGTTAAAGCTATCATGGCCAGAACGGTATACAGCTCTTCTTTTGTCAGCTTCCCAGGAGTCGTGCGATTCGCTAAGGCCCATATTTGTCCGAGAGTCTCCCTGGGCAGCCCAGAAGACATCAGGATGGGATACAGTTTGCCGGTGTCAATCCCAGTAGGGGTCATAGTGGTTTCTAGAATTTTCTTGTACAAATCTGAAAAGGAGGAAAAAGGTGATTGTTCGTGCCTGTCGCTTCTTGTCTCAGATGGCAACGTGTCTGTAAAAATTTTCATCAGGCAAACAGACTCTTTGATCTTGGGCGCTGCCAAACGCACACGGCTCCATAGGCAGCTCCTTCCATTGCGAAGACAGAGCAGCCAAAACATGTATGGAATCAGACAGGGAAACACACCTGTCGGATAAATTATGCTTTCGAAGAGGGCGCTTCTGTTTTCATAATTCTTATTATAAGAAAAATCTCTCAACAGCTGGACTGGGTTTAAAATTCAGTATCATCGTATCGATATTTCATACTGTGCCTCCCCTCTGCTTGCCTGGTCTGCAAAGCATTTTAAAAACCAAAGCTTCTTAAAAGACAAAAGTTGCTATAATCATAATGTACTCAGACACAGAGATAAGCTTCCAACATTTCTAATATCAATAATGTCAATGCTAGTTATGTCATAATCTTTATTGTTATTATTGTTATTATTACCTGGAACTAAATTATCATTGTAAATCCAGGGGGGCATCAACGGCTGGATAGGATCCTGTGAGGGAAATACTCCAACACCTAAGATAAGTGCACAGAAAGAAAGACTGGCATTTAGGAAACATCGGCTGCTAACAATTTATCCGGAACATTTTTTGTTGTCTTCTGACAGAGCAAATTATGTTATTCAAGGAAGAAATTAGCTTTCCACAAATAGTTTGGTAAAAGAGACATGCTTTTGGTTTAAAAGGAAAAAAACACCACTAACATATGGGCAGAGACTCGCTTTCCCCATACGGATCAGAAGTTCCCACTCTTGTCCACCACATCAGAGTAATTCTGCTACATCTCTCCGCCGTTTGCTCTCAGGAAGAGTTTCTATGATGGCTGGACAATTGGTAAAATAAATGCAGTACAACCAAGCCAGTCATCCCATTCATTAAAAAACCAAGGATGGTAAATTCTATGGCCTTCGTCAGATGTTCTAGCACTTCTACCTTAGAAAAGCTAACTACTAAAAGGAGTGTTTTTTCTGGAATACTAATCTAACACTCTCCCGGTCTTCAGACCCTTCACATACTTCATGACAACTACTTTGTCAATACAGTGTAGTCACACCATAAGAATGACTTAAGCAGTATCATTAATGTACTCATCCAGGTAAGCTTTTTACTAAAATCCAACAGCTTTCTGGAAAAAAATGCAACCATTTGAACGAAAATCATTCAAACAGAAATCTTTGCTGGGCAGGTAAGGCTACACAAGGTGAAACACAAGCGCAGTATCCCAAATCCTTGGAAAGCTGCTCATTAGGTATTTTAAGCTGAACTGTATTAAAGACGAACCATCACTTTAGCAGATCAAAAGGAGGAGATGGCTTCTAATGCACTGCTGTAAATACCAGCTAAGAGCATCCAGTAACCACACGGTGCAGTAATGAATTCTAACAGTTAATTATGCGCTATGTGGCAAGGGACTTTCTTTTGCCTATTTCTAATCTATACACATCACTTTCCATCAAGGGGGTGGTGGTGTCCTCTGGGAATTAAACATCCATCTCCACCCCACAGAGTTAATGACGTCCGAGACAAAATAAGTAACAAGAAAGGCATGCTCAATCAAAACAACATTTTACTGAAAGCAAGCCAGGTCTGAATCTTATTCAAAAACAGTGTTAGGTTTTAACTGTGTTGGGGTTAAAGGGGAGGAAGAAAAGAATTCTAAAATCAGAATGAGATCTTGCCGATGTTATGCGCAGGTTAAGAGAACAAACATTGTTATTCAAGCAGGGATTCAGAGCAAAATCATCCAGCATCCACATCAAGAGGTTAGCCACGCTGAAGCGGTATTCGAGCGTATGCTTTGCCAAAGACACGGATCTGCTCACCACGCTCTTCAACTGACAAGTTTTGTTCTGAAGCCTTGTTTGCCTCTGGACTGGGGGTGCTGCTTGGAAGCTCCCCTCCAGACTTCCAGGGACTGGCTGCTAACCCGGGATCAGTGCAATGTACAGCCAAGGCTGCAGCACCGAGCTGAGCTCCCGGAGTTTTAGCTTTGGCCCAAGTTTGCCCAAATTCACTCAACCCACCAGCTGGCAGGAGCTTCTCCTCCAAGGAAGGGCCTGGATAAATAAAAGGAGGAATCGTTTCAACTTGGTTAGCTACTTCATTTGAAACGCCACCCCCTTACAAAATTTCTGCGAGCAAAAAGGAAATGCTGAGGTGCAGAAAGAGGAACACACACGATGTTGGGTGGCCTCTCTCGCTTTTTTCCTTGCAATTAACATTCTGGGTCTATTCACCACTCATGGTAACCTGGTATCTTTCAGAATTCTGACTTAACAGGGTACCAGCAAGCATGCTGGCGCATGTTGGCTGAAACCTGCTTCCAATGCCATGGAGAGTCATTCACCAAAGCAAAGGAAACATGGCTTCTTGCATAAAGTTCAAACACAGCAAGAGCTGGCATTTTGACTGGTCTCTTCCCCCAAGGATCCAGCCCATGGGTTCTCTCTCACGCATGGAATGGGAGAAACAAGCCAGAGTTCTGGCTACTTACCCGTTTCAATACCAATAGAACTGAATCACAGATTAAGGGCTGCAGTTTGGTTAACTGACCCCAACTGCAAAGGAAGCTGTCAGCCAGAACATACAACATGCCAAACAATTCTGGATCAACGTGATATAAGAAGCAGGTCTCTGGGATTACTAAGCATACACAATCCTCTTCTGGCTATTTCTTGCCTCCTATCATGGTGGACCTGATTTAAATCAAAACAATTTAAATCACTAGACTCCATTTAAGACTAGATTCAAATCATGGCTTTCTACATACAGACTCACTCGCACTGGCATAATATTTACAAAAAGATGAAGGTTTCATTTTTATACAGACTCACTCGCACTGGCATATTTACAAAAAGATGAAGGTTTCATTTTCAGAATAACTTTCCAGATTATTATTTTTTCTTTATCAAATGTGTGTTGTACCTTGGTACTTGTAGTTCTGCCACATATCGTGAAACCACCTGTTTCTCAATGACCCCATTTTGGCTTCCTTTCTGTTGGCCCTTCCCACCTAAGTCTGCTGTCACAGTATGAGACCTCTCGGAAGAGGCATTCCTGTCCACGAGCAAGAGGCATGCCTGGGAAGTCCTCTGTCACGCAAGTACTTATGGACCTTAAAAAGCAACGGCCCAAAACAGGAGTAGGGAACCCTTAGCTCATCACATGTTGTGGAATATATATCCCATTCCGCCTTACAGGCAGAATTCCGCCTTCCAACTGGCTGGCGCTTCTGGAAGTCGAAGACTAAATCGCCTGGTAGGCCAAAGGTTCCCCATCCTGCCTCTACGTGACTTGTCAACCTTTTAACCAACTAGCAGAATAACCGTCTGCATGTTTACTTGGACATGATCTTCCACGTGTGTAACGCTTGCGCCGTTATGTTCAAGATTACAGCCTAAATCTTGCAACTCTAATTTAAAACCCCTTGCCTCGCTGCAGTTACTAGAGCATATGTGATACTGTTAAGACAACCAGTTCCCTCGGTCCCCGCTAGCTGAAGGATCCCTGCAGTTGTAGTCCTATGGCTTCCTGGCAGACAATAAGCAGGCCACCCCCAGGATCAAATGGAATTAAGCATGAAATCAGCGCTCTCCCACGGTCCTGGTGTGTTTCATTCCCCCAGCAAAGATATAGCATGTTACCTGTTGTTGTCTGAGTGTTTTGTGAAGCTGGAGAAGCAGAGAAACAAGGAACCTGCCCCATGGCACCATGGAGGATGGAGGACACAGGAATCTGGACGGAAGGGAGTGTCTGGGCCACAGCCTTCTCTGAAAGCCGCTGCCCAGTCTGGGAAGGATGGCAAGATGGAAAAGGCTGGGAAGAGGTTGGAGGCACAAATGACAGGGTTTCAACAGGACCCTGTATAAAGTCACTAAACTCGTCGTCGTCATCGAGAAAAGCAGGGGTATGGGAGACAGACACAGTAGAATGGGATGGCGTGGGGTGATCTGAAAAATGGAATGAAGACACAGATACACACATACACACACCACACATGCACAAAAAGACAAAATGAAAGTCAATGGATGCAAACAGGACATTTGCTTCAAATTTTAAAAAGAAAGGATAAAGCAAAAAGGAAAGAGCAAGAAATGGCTATTTCTAGAAGAGGCTAAATGAACTGATGCCTTTAAAGCAATCTGATTCATCCTGTTGGGCAGCTGTTTCCTAAGCAGCTATTTTTTCTAGTTCCCTTGTTATTTCTGGCCCTGATCTGCCAGACGGGAGGTTGATGGAAAAGCCTCTGGACTGGGGCGGGGAGAGGAGGAAACCTGCCTGAATCCGAGACCTTTGTCTTATGAAGGAACATCCACACATGGGAAGCGGAGAGCAAGGAAAAGTACTGTATATAGTTTAGCCTAGTCCGATGCTTGCACTTGCACTATGGACAAGGCAAGTAGCTGTCAAGTTCAAAACCAAGAAGGCAGTTGCTTAAGCAACTGGATGTTGCTTAACATCTTAAGCAAAGGATGAAAACTTCAGGTACAGTGGTGCCTCGCTTAACGGGCGCCCTGTTTAACGATGAAATCACATAGCGATTAACTTTTTGCGATCGCTTTTGTGATCGCTTTGCAATGTTCCCTATGGGGAAAAAGCGCTTTGCGATGATCGGTACCGTTTCGCTTACCAATCATCGCAAAGTGATGGTTTTTTAACAGCTGATCAGCGGTTCAAAATGGCCGCCGGGTTAAAAAAAATGGCCACCCGCTGTTTTCTGGGACGGATTCCTCGCTTACCCGGCAGCGGAAATGTATGGAGGATTTTCGCTTAAAGGTGAGTCTGAAGCCCATAGGAACGCATTGAAGGGGTTTTAATATGGGCTTTTTAATATCGCATAGCGACAAAATCGCTTTGCAGCAATTTTTGCTGCACCGATTATCATCGCTACGCGAGGCACCACTGTATTACCTTTTAAAAAAATGTCTCCCATCCTAGAGATCATCCAGGGAGGTTTTATATACGATAATTTCATTCTATAGATCAGGGAAGCTATCTGCTAGGGTCTCCATGATCATGGCACATTCACAAGGGAATGTAGTACCTATGCAGGACCACTCTTTTTATCCTTTAGGAAGTCTGCTGTATTTTTAAAAAAATCCTCAGGAGAGAGACTAACATTCTCAACTGCTAAATTTTAACCCCATTTTTAAACTAAAAGGATTGTTTACCTCATTTTGAACTTTGCTGGCTGCTTTTTATTGTTTGTATACACACGTTTCATTTGGTTTGCATTTTATTAAAACTGCAAACCACTGGGACAGCCCACCATTTTAGCCAACAGCACCTCAACTTTTCAGAATAAAATTAACTTTAAAAACAACAACAGAAACATAAAATACAGGTATCATGCAATGCTCAGGAGAGGTGAAAACTTGCCATCATAACCTACAATTTCCTAAATTGTTTTTAATCTCCTAAAATACTTTTAAATGACTGCCTCTTCTCAAACACTTTGTAGCCTTCTGCTCTTGATTACAGCCCACTATAGCCATAATTCAGTCATGATTAAAGAGTCAAATGGTTAAATCTCTCTAGCTGAAATCTATGAAATCTACCTATAAATGCTTAACGTTGGCAGGACTGCAATCCCATTGTATCAGCTAAATGAAACTAAGGATTTTGCTGCTGCTCCAGTGAAGAAAACAAGTGTGTGTCATGTGTCGATACACCGCTAAAATGTTTCAATACTCTGAAGCTAAATCTGTTAGAGGTTTGCATTTCCAGCTCCTTGACGAAAATACATTACCTGCAGTTTTTGGATGTGATGTAGGGGTGGGGTGGAGTTTAGCATCTCTGGAAAACCCATCCAAGTTCCCTTTGATGGCTTCCAGTGCATCATCTCTGCTTTTCTCGCCCATCTGAAATAGACGTGATTTGCTATGAGAGAGCTAATCTATAGCAGAATTTGCAGCTTTTATGGAAAAACCTAGCACGGTCAAAAAGAGCCCAGCACCTTTTGAGCCTCCTCTTTTCAGCCGAAGCCATCACACCACCGCATCCTATTACACTGTTTTCGTGGACGCTTTCTTTGCTGACAAGAGTTTATACTAAGATTTTGTGAAAGTTTTAAGTTCGTTGTTTTTGTCTTCCAGCTTGGCAGAAGATAATCAGCTAAAATTCAAACATGTTTTCCTGAACACGCCGTTCAAAATGTACCTTTGGTTTCACGCTGCTTAAAAGCCGTAGCTTTTGCTTCTGCTCTTCAAACTGGCGCCTTTTCCTTTCCTCTTCCAAAAACTTTTGCTGGTGTTCATATCGTTTCCTAGAACGGGATAATTATTGTGCTGATTAAAAATAGTATTAAATCTTTTTCCTGAACAACTGCATAATTCCCCGGTTTCCATAACTAAGTGGACCTGGAAAGCAAAACCACGTTCAGAGACAGACCACAAACCAGGAATAAAATCAGAATCTTAAGTGACCTGTACAAATATAGTTGGTAACCCTGTTTAAGCATTATGGCTGCAACAAGCAAGCTACGATTAAGAAATTGTCACTGTCTTTTTCCCTGCAGAGAGAAAAGCAGCTTTTGGTGACGTCTCTTTATACATCCCTTCAGGGTTACAGCTTAAGTTCAGAAACTCAAACTGTGATCCTCGTGTATTGCTTGGGAGATTAACCAAGGTTTAGGCAAGAATTCACAGTGAAAGACTTACATCCACTCCACGTTTAACAACAGCTTCTTGCACCAGAAACCTGAGCTTACTGGAATATCTCCAGCAGTGTATATTAAATCAACTTTCTCTTCTTAAATTTAAACTTGTGGCTGGAACCACCAATCAATTACAGACATCCAAACAAGACTCCGCAGCATCAGAATCAACCTGGCCATCTGCTGAGAGGCAAGAATTGCCGCTCCCTCCTTTCTACAGAGGTAGGAAGGTTGTGCACACAGACAAATGAAAACACCTTCTGCTCTGCCTCTGTTCTGACTTCAGCTTCCTGGTGGGTCACCCCAGCTTGTTAAACTGTGGTTTCGACAACCAAGTTTGGAGAGAGCAACAGACCACAATAATCAGGAAGAGAAGCTTTAGAAAATCTCTTTTCCTTCCATGTAGAAGTGGAAACACCTAAATTTGAAGTTTTAAATGACCAAACCCTTAAAAACAGGTTGGGTTTTGAAATCAAGTCTATATATGTAAGGAGCACTTGAGGGGGTAGAGATGAAGAGTATTTGAAGACTCAATTGGACAACCTACATTCTATAGTCACTCTATACCACCTCCTTCTTCTGCAAAAGAAAATCACCCCACCAGGGAGAAATGATGTAGCTTAATCAGCCCTGCAACTGTGCAATGTTTCTCCCCGGAGGAGAGTGTACTCACATGACCAAAAGCAAGCTTTCAAAGAGGTGATCCTTTTTTTGCACTCAGCACCTTAAGTGCTTCTGCAATACTTGAAGAGATTGTTTCTGCATGTATATAATCTGCCCACACACTAAGATTTGCTCAAAAGGCCCTCCTCTGTGGTCCAAATTTGGACGTTTTACCCTATTCAACAGGGTGAGAAACCTGGGGGTCATGTCCACTCCATGTTCACTTGTAGTTTTCAAAAAAATGCTATTTCTTTCTTCCTCTAAGCATCACTTACTGCTGCTCTTCAGCAAATTGCTTCTGCATGTCAGGGGTGTAGGGAGGAGCTGCTGGGCGCATTCCAAGGAAGGGAGCCTGCCCCATGTAAGGCATTCCAGCCGTCTGCATGTGACCCAGAGGCATGCCACCCTGTGAGTAAAATGAGAATCAAAGTGGCTTCATGTTGAAGAAAAACATTAAAAAGGCATGAAAAACTATACAATCAGCAGAAACCCCTCACTTTGAAATCAACAGCTCCTGGGGGATAGACTTTTAATAAAACTACACAACGTGAAAAATATGGACCAAGAGCAAGGTTTTAAAAATTGCAGGTCACTCAGTGTCTCTCTGTTGATTCCAATGCTGTAGTGTTAGTCATATTCTAAGCTTAGCTTTTACCAATCCAACACTCTGCAGACGGGTTAGACTACAAGACATCATGCTGGCAGTAATGCTAGCCAAGGATGATGGGGCTTGTAAATTCAACATACCTGGAATATGCTGATTTGGGAGGACTACATTACAGCCTCCAGCACAAGGACCTTCTATTCATCCTCTCCAATAGCATTACAGGCTTATTCCCTTATACCTGGGATACTGGGGAATGCCATACGTAGGCTGCTGGTGACAAAGCTGTTGCATCAATATGACATTTATTTTGGAAAGCTTCAAAGGATGATTTCCCCCAAAAGCTTTGATGAAAATAGAGGAAAAAAATAAGAATATTCAAAATGATCTGTGCCAGAATCCTAGGCTAGTAGACCTGCAACATCTCTTGCTTGGGTTTTTTGCCTGCCACCCTCATTTGAACAACAAGTTAACGCCACTGATCCCAAAACAGAACAAGCCAAACAGTTTCACGGTGATGTGACACAAATTTCAGTCCCAAACCTGCATGGTCATAGTTCCAGGAGGTAACGGAGTGCCATAGTTCATTCCCATAATCCCTTGCAAATTGGGCTGCATAACGGACACCACTGGGAAGCCTTGCTGTTGCATGGGAATCATACCTATACCAACACAATACAAAGACAGCTTAAGATTCTTCTTCGGTGCAGTTTTATCCTAAAGTTATACACCTCCCATCAATGTATAGCCATTGCAGAGCACTGCAGCAAACTGAAAAGGCGAGTGAATTCACATGCTCTGGGCCAAGCGTCAGCAACCCATGAATACTATATGCTGTTACCAGACATTTCCCCCTCCCACCTCCTTCTCAGTGTCTCTCTCTTCCCTGGCAAATATCTACGTCCTGTCAGTCTCAGCCATAAACAACAGCTTCATCAGTGAACCATGGTTAAAGCTGAACAAGTCTTTCACCAAATCAGGTTTTAAATCAGACCATCATGGCTAATAGCAGCTCTTACCAAAATGGAGAAAGGACCTCTAATTAAACTGTCCTTATTCTATTACATTTACATATTATCAGGATTTCTGATTTCTCTCTGAATAACTCTGGGCGCTCCAGTCTTTAGTGATTAAGTGCACTCAGACAATTCTGTCAAAAATCACAGCACCCTACACTTTTAGCTGAGACACCTGTTTGCACCACGTGGCATTTTTTTAAAAGAAACCAGAAAGTAATTCTTGCAGTTCCAAGTTTGATACAAGTGGTAGAATATACCAGATGGGCGGGATATAAATCGAACAAATAAATAAATAAATAAACACACGTTTTCAGTCCAGTGCATCTACCTAACTTAAGATTTCTCCACCAACATCACTTTAATGTTACAAATGCAAAAGCAATACCTTTATTAGACCACTAAAAAATCGAACAGTGAGCCTCAAGCCATGCACCAATATTGTGTGAATCATGCAAATATCTATCTATCTATCTATCTATCTATCTATCTATCTATCTATCTATCTATCTATCTATCTATCTATCTATCTATCTATCTATCTATCTATCTATCTATCTCTCTCTCTCTCTCTATATATGGCCTGAGGAAGTGGACTTGACCCTGAAAGCTCACTGTTTGTTAGATTTTTTTAGTGGTCTAAGAAAGGTATCACCTGCTCTTGCATTTGTGCAATTTTAAAGACCACATCATCTTTTCCTAATTTTTTTTCCTGAACTTTAATGTTAAGACTCTTCATAGTTTTTACGTACCCTGAGGACCGAGGCCAGGAAACATGAAGCTGAAACGAGAGAAAGTGTGGAAAACATGAGTTGGCCATTTGAACATTGCAACAACAGATTCTCTGGCTAAGTCTTGCCTCTACTGGGGGAGCTTCTTTCAGAAAGCTACAACCCAACAGGTAGAGTAACAGTGTCTTTGAAATCAGGTATCCTACAGATTTGTCCTTTTACATTCAAACCATTAAACCATCTGAAGAAATTGGTTGTTACACAGCTTGGAAATTTTACTTGTTTGGACTGCAAAGCCCAGCTAGGAAGCTGTAGTCCAAAGAAGAGATATTTTGAAGGCCTGGTTGTGAGCCATAAATGTCCATGCAAAGGCATAGCAATAAAGATCTGAACTAGAACAGTAGACTTATTTGTAGTATTTCAAGTCTTTAATTCCATAAAATAAGGACTAATGGGGCTGTATCACACTAACAACAGATTTTTTAAAAAAGCTCATATTCTTTCAAAAACTTTTCACCAGCAAATGAAGAAACAGACCACATATTTCATGAAAGCTTTCTGGAAAGGAGAACAAACCCCAGGTCTGAAGCAAGATCCTGCTTCCTTTACACAGAGATGGAAAAAAATGTTTCCACAACTGTTTCAGTGTGAGCTTTTCTGGATTACATTCCACTTCTCCAGTCTTCAAGGTATCACAATACTCCCCTACTCCCTTTTTTACTTTAGCTTTGTTTTTGTCATACATTCTGAAACAGGTCAACACGGCAACCTCTTTCAAAACACTTTTCAACTGTTTTCCTTGCAAACAACTCCAGCATATTAGCTGTCAGCCAGAAATTATTAGGCCAGACCTCAAGAGAGGTAGAAATAAACAAACATCACACTATGATTTTATTATATGTGAAACAGATATTCTTATTACTCTTTGCAGATAGTAAATGAGTAAAAATATCAAGAGGTACTGCCTCTTTTACTGCATCAGGAAAAACACAAACAAACAAAAGAAAAGAAAAAAATGTAGCACCTTAAAGACTAACAATATTTTCATGTGAGCTTTTCCATATGCCTGACAAAATGGACCTGTCCGTGAAAGCTCACATTAAAATATAATAGTTGGCCTTCAAGGTGCCACACATTGCCTTGTTTTGTTTCTTTGGATTTTGCCTGGTATGTTTGCACAGACTAACACAGTTACCTCTTCCAAAATTGCCTGTTTTACTTGATCGACTGCTCAAAACAAAACAGGCCAAAAGATTTAATGAAGGCACATCACCTTATTACAGCACATTCACTTGTCAACCACCTCATTGCTAAAAAGTATAATGGTAAGTAGAGCCGTCCTGGTTTAGACCTAAGCCCCATCCACTCCAGCTGCCCCCCAGGCCCATAAATAAGGGACGGAAGTGTCTTATCTTCTTCTACCACTGCTCCTTGGCAATATTTTTCAGAAATAACCTGTCTCTGAGTGTGTACAACCACTCTGAGAATATGCCACCCACGAATGCTCTAGTGCTGCTGAATCACTGGCAAAGCTACCACCGCAGAGCATGGTAGCTTGTATGATATAATATTGTAGTACAGTACTGTGAATCACATTTATATGGATGGGTAGCAAAGCTAATAATAGCATATGGGTTCTGCCACATGGCTTCTCCCACTCTTGAAGCCAATGAATAGATTTTTAAAAGAAGGAGAACTTTTGGAAGGAATCTTAAAGTAATGCAACCCACTTGCAAAGTTAAATCTAATTTCATAACTGCATGTCACATGTGGAAATCAGATGTGCATCAGAGTCAACTCACATGTTATTCCCTTATCTTAAGGAGGGATAGGGACAGTATACACACAACTTGATCCAAAGCTGAACAGCATGATGAAACAAAGCTAGCTACCATTTCATGAGGCAAAGAAATTAAGGCCAAATCATTAAACATGCATAAGCTTTCTAGAAAGACAGTAATTTATTTATAAGCAATAGTAAAGTAGACCACTGTCACTAATAAAAGATAAGTTAAAGCAAAAAAAGATGACTCAAAACCAACATTTTCTCTGATGTCAATTCAATGTACAGCATTATTGTGTAGGGTCTATGACTCTTAATGGATATTCAATTATTCTATGCCTAGTATCACAACAAGTTCTTCTCACTCCTAGATAAGTCTCTTCTGGTGCTTCTTTTTAAAGCACTCTAGCTCAATAACAAACAGCCCAGTGATTTTTTCAGGGGGATACATATAATGCAAGAGTGAGAAATCCACACTTTAATTTACATCAGTTCCACAAGCGATGGCCATAAATGTTGAAAGCTGGTGACGAAAAACATGTGGAAAAGCAAAAGTTCCTCACATTTCACCCCTATAACAAGACATTCCAATGAATGCAGGTTCCATTGATTTAATAAGTCCACTCTACAGTAGTTGCAACTCACTATGCTAAGCAACAAGATTTCCACCAATACTTTCCAAAAAATACTAGATGCTGTAGAAAGCATCTTCCATCACAAAAACGAGCAACAGGTGGAGTAATTTAAGTCAATATTTTAATTTCCTAATTAAATCCTTGAAAAAGAGTTTAGAACCTGAATGGCAAACTACTTTTGAACAATATCACAAGCCCTACACAAGAACAACACCCCATACCCAAAATAATTAGTCAATATTAATCACAATTTACTCACTAAGTGTTCCACTGAGATAATATCCTCACTTCTTTTCCAAATGCAAGAAAGCAACATCGCTATGTTTACCATTATTACTGAAAGGACAAAGAAGCGTCTAAAACGGTGGCTAATTCACATGAAACTATACTAAATATGTCCTGAAGAATTTCACTGAGTGCGCTTGGCCAAAAATTACTTCTCACCCTAATCCACCTGACAGGGTCGTTGTAAGGAGACAGGTGTTACGAAAAGAGAAGTGCAAGTAAGGCACCCACAGCCAAAGTGTTCCCAAGGTACATGGCCCACAAAATAAATAAGTTGATCACAGTCTATTGTTGTGTGACAGGTTCCTAAAAATAAATTTAAAAATGTAAACAGGAAAAAGGAAATGCAATGCAAGTCCTTTCCAGAACACCTGTATTTACATAACACCCTAAAAAAGGCTAAACACATGCAGTCTTAAAAGAACACAAGAAATTAAAATAAAACAAACATTAAAATCCATTTCAAAAACTTAAAGGATGAGGTAACCTGCTGTACAAAAAAGTGGTCCATCAGGTTTTTTTCTCTCTCCCTCAGAGAAATGAAGAAATATTTACCTATCATTAGCGAACAACCAAATTAAAAACTGTCCCATCTATTGTTTCTCTCTTGTTAAGTCTGGGCCCATCAAGTAAAGTGATAGTTTTAATGGATTCTCACAAACTGAAAACACTTGTACATATTTTTCCTCTCTGCATGTGTGTTTATATGTAGTAATAAAACAGATGTAAGTACATTATGTGTGCATTTGACAAGAAAAAAATAAATCTCACTTATTCTAAGCAGGTCACCAAACTGGAAAAGGTTTTATCTCTTACTCCTCTCTTGATGGGTATTTACATATAATAATAAAATAACTGTGTGCTGTCAAATCAATTCTGATTTATGGTGACCCTTTTATGGCAACCAAATAAATGCAATTTTTAAAACATAATATCACAAAAAATTACACCCTTTGTGTGTTGAGGATTATGATTTGTGCAGGTTTTGCAATGGTTTCAATCTTTAAAAAATTTTTTTTGCTTTAAACATTTTAATAAATTTTAATTTGTTTTAAACCCCTTATGTTTTCAGATCATTTCAGACAGCTCTGGCACCTGCCCTGAGCTCTTGTGATAGAGGGTGGACTGTAAAGGCTTTAAATAAATATTAAATAAAGAAAATAAACACACACTGGGTGTGTGTCCTTAATTTTAAAAAAACAAAACAAACACCTTACCTATTAACAAAAAAAAACTTATATGGGGGGAACTTAGTCATGAGATGGCAAATGTGATAATGATAACCACAATAAAAATAATTTTGGTTAAAACTTGCATCTGTTATATAATACCAGTCGATGTTCTTATAATTTTGATTGACTGTGTCTGGTTTTTATTATTATTATTATTATTATTATTATTATTATTATTATTAT